TCAACCTCAATGAGAAAAAGAGCAGACTTCCCATTTTTTTACCAAGCTTTTGAATGAAAGTGTGATTACCATCACCTTCAAGAGCCTCATGAAAAGATTGTGGAATATTGCAGGACTTACTGATACCAAAAACAGGCTCTGAACCTGAAAGAGAGGCACGAGTAGGAATATGAAAGTCGCCGACAAGGGCAGTGACATAGGAACGAAGCCACGAGGCCATCTCCATAGGCAAGATGACCACGTCAGATTTGAGCGGCGTTGCGAGCCGCGACAGAGAGGCGAGCAGGACTTGGGGAAACTGTTTATTGGGTAGGGCAACAGGCGCGTCGTCGACTACGAGGGAGAGACGACGCGAGCCACGTCAGGTTAGGAGACGATGTGCGAATGAGCTGCAAGCGAGCGTTGTCGACTATGGGAGAGATGATGCAAGCGAGCGTCGTTGAGTGGAGAGACGACAACGAGCGAGTGACGTCTACTGAGAGTTGCGAGCGCGTGAAGTCATCGTCGTGGGTGACGGCGGAGAGAAAGAGAGAAGTCGAAGATTCACCGTCGAGAATTGTCTTTAGGCGAAACCCTCGTAGAGCCCGTTGCCGCTGCCGACACTATCATATGCTAATATATTAAAAAGGAAAAAATACAGATATATTGTATGAGGGGGCCTAAAAGAAGACATCAAACCCACACGATACAACACACAAAATCCCAAGAAAAAAAGTAAATATATTTATAAGATCAAAAAATCAGAATCACCAACACGCAAAAAAAGATAGGTACGTCCCAATTTAATCCTGCCTCTGCCTCTAGTTCTCGGAAGGGAGCCGACTAACAAATTTGTGAGGTGCGTACCATTACCCGAAGTAACTGAAGTATCATCCATTAGATTCCTGAGTTCAAGTAGATCTTCATTCTTCTTCCTCAAGTAGATCTTCATTCTTCTTCCTTCTGGATGTGTAAACATGTTATTTTTCATCCGATGATTGACTCATCTTATCAGTGGATTGGTTCAAAGGTGGTAAGAGAGGTGTAGGCTGTTGCACATCATGAAACCCATGTGCTTGAGTAACATTAACATCTTGCTCGACCTGATGAGGTGGTAAAGAAACAGTAGAAATATTGCCAACTGTAAGATTAGTGATAGATTCTAGGGCAAGTGAAGTCTGAAATGTCTCCTTCGCCCCCACGAAAGGAGGTTCTAAAAATGGGGAAACTACAACATTGTGTGGGGCCTGAATGGTTGACATTTTGCTTGCGATGATAGTGACATCTTCAGGAGTATCCCTTTTATGATCAATATTGTCAATAACTTGAAGCAGATTAGGATGAGGAGGAATCACTGTCTCTGACAGAACACTTTCTTTCTTTGTTCTGAGATGGGGGTGTAGATGGTGACATTGAGAACTGGAGTGGCCGAACAATACGAATGGAAATACTCAATCACAACCTTTTGCCAATATCCATGGTGCCGTGCCTAAACAAATTTTCTCAGAAGCTATTGAAGTGATGTTTCTTTCAACAAGTACTCTGACTTCAGATGGACGAGAAATATTAAAAGTAGAAATGTCCGTTTTGAGTGGCTTACCATAAGTTGAGGCAATAGAGTACAACACTTTTTGAGTAAAATAATGAAGTTTCATAGGGAGACGAATCCAAATTGTAATGATTGGTGGTTCTGTCTGTACGTCAAAATCTACCGACCATTTCAAAATCTTCATTGCTTTATTATCAATCCAGATTACCCTTCTAGCAAATAATCGAGTGTAATCCTCTTCATTATTAAGTTTAATAAGAATGTGTCTTCCATCTAAAAGTCTAACCTTTCACTCTCTAATAAGATGCATATGCTCAAATTCCATACGAATAAGCTTCATTTTGTGATGGTCAAAAATAAATTTTCCGACCAAATTCAGATGAGAGAGGGAAGCAAGTTGAATACATTCAGCTTCTGTAAAAAAGATGACAAACTTCTTATTCTTTCTATCAGGTTTCTTAATATCTCCGTCAACGCAAACAAAGGAGGGAAATAGTACGATTTAGGAGCACCTGAGGCGTGGACACCCGCAAGGGCAATAGCATACGATATGTCCGAAGCCATCGCCGGAAGAGAGAGGCGCGGTGAAAGAGTAGTGAATTTGTAGTAGACGGAAGTGCGAAATTCAAAAGAGGAAACTGTAACCCCTGCCAAGTCGAGCAGAGGGCGGACTTTTTGCTCGAGCCCGAGGCTTTCAGCGAGGAAAGAAAAATTGCGACGAGGAAAGAAGACGAGAGGCGACGACGGAGAAGCAAGGAGAGTGGGATCTTCTAAGTCCCACTTAAAATATATCCATGAACTTCAAAAATTTCATTTGAAGTGGGACTTAAAGTATAGGTGCATTAACCATAAATAGTTATGTTTCTATTGGTTAAGTGAATTTTAGAACTTTTTTGTGGCATAGTTGAGTAAAATAAAATGATGTCATTGCATGCTAGTCTTGAGTTATTACTCTTACTCATCTGTTACTGTTTTACATGTCTTAGAAAATAGAAAATATAATACAAGTTATGATTTTTCTGAGGTCTTGGAGCTTTCTAGTTTGTTGCATCATTCATGTACGTTGAGCTCTTCTTTTTGAATGATCTTTGTCTAGTTCATCAAGCTTCAATGGTTGTGATCTTCTTGTATAAATTATGAAACACACTTAGTAAAAATTTCAGCATTGTTATCTTAAATTGCAGATTTTCAATAGATACTAATGAGCTTGAGATGAACTTCTTAACCTCTCTCTATGACAAAGTTGAATTTAGCATTATTCTTAGATTAAGAATTCTAGTCGATCAAGTTGAATGATGATAATTTAAGGGACATGTTGAGTAATTCTTGGATTATCAAAACTAGGTAAAGTTGAGAAGTATTCATACAGAAGCTCGAACCAATCATCAATCATTTCAACATCAACGATGTTGTTGTATCAGGGCAACTCTAACTTTTGCCTTTACTTTTGAGTGAGTGGTAGTCTATCATTTATTTGAATGCTAAGTGGTGCATTTTCTCGTCTAATGGATGTCATGGTCTTCTTAGAGGTTCTTGGAAAATCTCCTCTCCTCCATTAGTGTATTTGATTGGTTGTGGTTATAGGATTTGTCTTATTTGAAGTGATAAGAGATGAAATACTTTACATGGATTTGATTAATGTGCAAGAGATTTTTCTATCTTTACTATTTTTCTTTCGAGTTTTCCTTGGTTGGTGATGTAATTTTCTATTGGTTTTTCAAGTTCTCTTTTCCCTGGTTTTTGATCATAATAATATAAGAATCTTACAAGCTAGATGTATTACTCTAATATAAATGTGATTCAGAATAGAAGCCATGATATTGATTTATTTTTCTTACTGGATTTGAGTAGGAAGATGAAAGGAAATAAAAAAAATGGTTTGAATGATTTTGTGGGATAGAAGATCCGTGTAGCTGACCCCACTTAATGGGATAAAAACTTGTTGTTGTTGTTGTGGGTTGAATGATTTTGTATTAGGTGGGCTTAAGTCTAGAATGATATGAATAGTTTAGGTATTGGATTTTCACTCCCTTGCACTTTTGTCTGAAGCAAAAAGAAAAAGTTGGCAAAGGTTTATGAAGGAGAGGAGGGATGCTTATAGGGTACTGGAATTAGATTATCATTCTTATGTGATGCTTCCTTGCAATCAACCCATGTTTGCTTGAGCTTTTTTGTTCTTTGTGTGGTGTCTATGGGGATGATTGAGATAAGAAATTGTCAAAACTCCTAGAAGGAGAAAAAGTAAACCAAATAGAGCAGGAGAGAGAGTAGGGTTGACTTGAATGTCTTTCTATTCAATTTTTTTCATTATTTTGAATTGAAAATAGATCATGTAACAGCTCTTGTTTTTGGAAGTATGAGATGATAATGTTTAAAGCAGGTTCTTAGCCACCTAGACCTCCAAGTTAGGAACTTAGTCTGGACATCATCTTCACACAGCTCTTGTTTATTGAGTTATGAGATGACAATTCCAAATAAAATTTTAATAAAAACATTTAAGGGGAGATTGGGTGGTTGGATGCTACTTATCCCATGGTGGAATGATCAATCACATTTTAAAGCTAGAATTGGCGATGCGTCACTTTATAGTTATGTAATGCCTCTTTAATGGTTGCAACTTTCTTATAGGCAGTTATGTAGCTTTTCAATTATTAATCTTCCATTTCGCTTGGGCATGTTTTTATTAAGACCCATGGAACATAATAGGGCCTAACTCTAAAAGAAGAGACACATGGATGTGCCTAACTCTAGTGTTGGTTTGTTTGATGACTAAACTCAGGGAACTCAGGATGGATTTTTCTTGATTGGGCTATTCTAGGTCAAGTTCAGTGTTTGAGATCCTGTTAGATCATAAGGGCTTGAGTAAAAATAAAGAAAAGTATGTGAAATTCTTTTTTAAAAAAGTGTTTCAATTATGGCTTTGCTGCTTCAATTTAGTAGATAAATTTAAAAGGTGTGTCCAATGCATGAAGCTCATCAATGTAAATGGTTGATTTAAACACATCTACAAACCTTTATGGTCTACTTTATTGCAGAGAGGTTGTTTCCTTGATTTAAACACATGAAACATGACCTTTACATCACAATGGAAGCAACTTGAACTATTTATCCTTAACTGTCCTTAAGGTAATCTAGCATGTTATTAATATTTCTCTGATTTAAACAGATGATATTAATTTTATTTCCACTGTCATTTTATATGTTTGTCCTATGTATCATTTGTTGTCATTTGATTAAATTTGTGTATAAATGTCACGGATGAAAATTTCTTCTATTTCTTAGGCCAGTTAAGGCCAGCATTTTTGAAATTTGTACTTTGATTTTAGAGTCATCACCCTCAGTTGATTTCCAACCTTATATTTTTTGTGTACTTGATTTTAGTAGAAGAAAACATTGGTTTACAAAATGTTTTGTCATTTCTGATCACATGTTCAGAAAAAAATTGATATTGCAAATGTATTCTATCAGGTTAAAGGAACAGTTTTTATGACAGATGCCAATGGTGCACTTGTTGATATTACAGCTAAATCCTCAGCATACCTTCCCCTCCAAGAAGCCTGTATTCACAGAATTAAGCATGTGTCTGAGGCTGGCATATTTCCTGGATTAACAGAAGAGTTTGTTGTTGTTGGTGAGAATGCTGCAGATGATAGTTTGATCCTGAGCTTGAGATCCATTCAGTATGACCTTGCCTGGGAGCGTTGTAGGCAACTTCAAGCTGAAGATGTTGTTGTAAAGGGTAAGGTAGGAAATCTTAGCCTTGCACATTGCGCATTTAGCTCTATTTTTTTGTCATAGAATATAATCTAAAATATTTTGTTTGATGAATATGCAACATTTAAATCATGAGTACCTTTTGGGAATAGTAGATCCTTCAGTTGATCAGCTTTGTTCACAATGTTTTGTTTCTCATTCTCTCTTTTATGTACTCCTTTTTACTTTATAATTCATTTGTTTACATTCATAACACAAGGGATTAAGCAGTACAAGGCTGATAAAATAACAGGATTTTCACATATGCCATCTAAATCCACCAAAAGATAAACCGGGTTTTAATTCACTTAAAGAAGGGCTAATCTACTTCCTACTTTTTTTAGCAAAAAAATCTTTTGTATGCAGGTTGTTGGCGGAAATAAAGGAGGTGTGGTGGCTATTGTCGAAGGCCTTCGTGGTTTTGTACCCTTCTCACAGATATCCACGGTTAGTCTTTTTCCTAAGGATTGTTATCCTTTCCTTCATTCAATTCATTATTAGAATTTCACTATTTGCACGCATCTTTATTTTTGTGCTTTTACTGCTTGCAATATTCTAGTTCAGCAATTCTTGGTCTTGGTTTATGATTTCTTTTACCTGTTTCATATGTAACATGGGTTTGAGCACACTCACAGAATGAATTGGTTGTATCCATTATTTATCTTTTGTAACTGATTAATTATTTTTTCACTTTACGTTAATGGAAAATTAGAAAGCAACAGCAGAAGAACTTATTGATAAGGAGCTCCCTCTGAAATTTGTGGAGATAGATGAGGAACAGTCTAGATTAGTCCTCAGCAATCGGAAGGCAATTGCAGATAATCAAGCTCAGCTTGGAATTGGATCAGTGGTCCTGGGGACTGTTCAGAGCCTGAAGCCATACGGTGCATTCATTGATATTGGCGGAATTAATGGGCTTCTCCATGTTAGCCAGATCAGTCATGACCGTGTCTCTGACATTTCCACTGTTCTCCAACCTGGTGACACCCTTAAGGTTACTTGCTCTGTTTTATTCCCAATAATTTTTCGTCTAGTATTATGGTGAGATCTGAATGCATTATCTAATTCTGAAAGGTGATGATTTTGAGCCATGATCGTGAAAGAGGTAGAGTGAGCCTATCCACGAAGAAGCTTGAACCAACACCTGGTGATATGATCCGGAATCCCAAGCTAGTTTTTGAGAAGGTATTGTTGCTTTTGTAAGAAATTCGCGTTCCTCTACTATGTTTCTATTGTTGGATGCTGCTTAAATTTATTTTGTTGTGGCAGGCTGATGAAATGGCACAAACCTTCAGGCAGAGGATAGCTCAAGCTGAGGCAATGGCTCGAGCTGACATGCTGAGGTTCCAACCTGAGGTACTTGCCATATAGTCCTATAAATAATTCACATCTATATGACTTCAAATGACCGAATTTTGAAAGAATTTTATATATAATGAAATTGGAGATACAGTTCGTTTTCTTTATCATGAATTTTGGTAATATCATATAGTATGCCTTGCAATTTTTTCTAAATTGACATTTGAAATTAAATATTGAACTTTTTGTGATTGACTGAGGTTGTTTCTGTAATGCTAGATGACTTTCCCAATTGTCCCATCTATTTATATGGGTTTTATCGTGGAGAACGTGGTAGCTGTATTACCCTTCAAAATTTCTTCGTCTTTGTCATTGTTAATAATTACTTTATTATATTCAATCCCATCATTTTGGTAAAGGACAAAGTAGATCTCTTGAGAGGTGGTAAAATCAATTTATTTATGAATATGTTTTTGCTAGAAGTATTTTTTGAAGAGAATAATATGCATCAACAGTTTATTCAAAGTTTTATGTATTTTAGTTTTTATTTTTTATTTTTTATTTTTATTTTTTTTTCAAACAGTGGATATCATGTATAAAACTAATTGGCTTTGGATCATGTTGCATGCCTCCTACTTTATGAGGCATAGGTTTCAGGACTAGATTGGATGGTGTCATCATGTATAATTCGTCACACCACACACAAATAGATAGATAACGAAAGCTTCAGGTGTTGGAGTACATTTTTTTTCCATTTCATATTAACCCTTTTCTGTCATTTATGAACAATCCTTATTAACACAACAATAACAGAGCCTTAATCCCACTACGTGGGGTCGGCTACATGAATCCTTTTTCTCCATTGGGTCCTATTTAGTGTCATATTTTCATTTAGTTCTAGTAAATTAAGATCATTTTTAATACAATAAGCCCAAGTCTTCCTAGGTCTACCTCTGCCTTTCTTAACACAAGTCGAATCTAAAACATCTACTCTCCTAATCGGATCATCTAATGGTCGACGTTTAATATGACCAAACCATCTAAGACGACTTTCTCTAATTTTGTCTGTCACAGGAGCTACACCAACCCTATCACGAATATATTCATTCCGCATTTTGTCTCTAAGTGTAAAGCCACTCATCCACCTAATCATTCTCATCCCGGCAACACTTAACTTATTATTATGCTTCTCTTTTAAAGGCCAACATTCAACGCCATAGAGCATTGCAGGTCTCACCACCGTCTTATAAAATTTTCCTTTCAGTCAAAGCGGTACTTTTCTATCACACAAAAGGCCCGAAACATTCCTCCACTTTAAAACACTCCTTATAAATAAATATTTTTAATATAGACACGTTGAATTTACGCATACAACATTATTGACTGTCCAAAGTTTTTTCTTATTAAATTATATGTTTCTTGCTGAAGTGAAAAACATGATGAAAGTTGATTCATTGTACCTTTTGAAGTGAAGTATATGTTGCAAAGGTAAATTATCATGATTCATAGTTGAAGTGTTTGTAAATTGGTGATTAAATTATTAAAAGGAGTGAACGTTTTAGATATCTTTGGTCTATTTCTCAAAGTGATGGTGATATAAATGTAAATGTTATTAGTAGAATTCAAGTTGTAGGGTGAAATGGACGAATGCATTGGGTCTATTGTGTGATTGAAAAGTATCACTTAGACTTGAGGAACATTTTATAAGATGGTGGTGAGACCTGCAATGCTTTATGGCGCAGAATATTGGCATGTAAAAGTGAAGCATAAAATTAAGTGTTGCTAATATGAGAATGTTTAGGTGGATGAGTGGCTTTATATTTAGAGACAAAATGCAAAACGAAGATATCCATGAAAGGGTTGGAGTAGCTCCAATAATAGACAAGATTAGAGAGAGTGACCTTTGATGGTTTGATCATGTTAAATGTTATCCATTTGATGACTCTGTTAGGAGAGTAGATATTTTAGATTTGATTTATATTAAGAAAGGTAGAGGTAGACCTAAAAAGTCTTGGGCTTGCATAGAATAATCTTAATCTATTAGAATTAAATGAAAATGTGACATTAAATAAAACACAATTGAGAAAAATGATTCATGTAGTGGCCCCCATTTAGTAGCATAAAAGCTTGTTGCTGCTATTGTATTATTGAAATAAAATCCAACCCTGTTAAAATTAAAACAATCTTAGACTGGTCAACATTTTGAATTTAATTTAAGTCCAAATTCTTCGTGCGCTACTTTTTATATATGATTTATTTAATAACTTTAAGCATTGTCATTGACGGGTTTCAAGTCCTGGATACGAAAAGTAAAAGGTTGCGTTAAGTAAGCGACAATTAGCATGAAAATTTTTGTCAAAAAACTATGACATGAATTCTTTTAAATCATGGTGTCAATTCTAGGACGTCTCTTGGAAGCAACACACTATATGACTTGAATACATTAAAAAATATTCAAGAGTTGTTTCACCGATGACTGTGTATAGTATTAAATAAGTAAATGTTCTCATATTATTGACAAATGTATACAAATAAATTGCTTTATAAACTAACATTAGGATATGAAATTGAAATATAGATACTCTTGGAAGGAAATTAATAGAAATGATAGATATTATGGTTCTAAGGAAGATAATGATTTTATGCATACAAGAAGTTAAATGAGTTGAAAAAAATACTAAGGAGATTGATAAGTTGAGTTTTAAACTTTAGTATTCATGTAGAAGTCGTAAAAATATTGTAGGTATATATATAGATAAGGGTTTGAAAAATAATGTTATAAAAATTAATAGAATTTGTGATAAAATTATAGTTCTAACTGTTATTGTTGATTGTGCTCTCTAAGTAAGTTTATATATATGTTAAAAAAAAAATTAGAATGACCTAGAAAAACTTACACAAACATTAATTTCTTAAGAATTTTTTTTAGAGGAGATTTAATGGACATGCTAGTAGAGTAGTAGAAGATTTTAAAAATATTCATGATGACTATATTTTGGTGTGACAAATGTAAAAGGTAGATATATATTGGGGTTTACATTAGTTTATGATTTTGTTATTGTTAATATTTTATGTAAGAAATTGACTAATTAACTCCTAAAAATGCTTAATTAACTTATTAATAAATTAATGGAATTATAAAAATTACTTAAATTTGACCCATTATCAAAATACCTAATTAAACTAATACTCTTCTAAGTAAATCATTAATTATTTAAATAGAACTTAAATGAATTTAATTAACTCATGATTACTTAATTTACTAATAAATATACTTAATTAATTTAATAATTAATCAATTAAAGCCATAATAATTCAATAAAATATTAATCATTTAATTAAGTTAATAATAATAAAATTAAAACATTAATTATTGAAAAATATCATTAAATATATAAATAATTAAATAAAACATTAAGCAACTTTATTAAACTGTTATTAATTAAATATATAATTAAATTAACTAAAAATTTGATTAATTCGTATCAATTAAATAATTTAAATTTAACAAAACCCTTAACTTAATAAAATAACTAATTAATTAAATAATTTTAATGATTCACCAAAAAAATTAATCAACATGTTAAATAATTAAATTAAATAACATGTTAGTAGTTAGATAATTAAAGTAATTAATATGTTAGTAGTCGTTAATTAAATTATTTTAATTGCCTAACATGTTAATAGTTATTATAATTTAATTACTTTTTTTAAAAAAGTATAGTTTTTTCATAAAAAAATAGAAAATACCCAACTAAACATGTTTTATATTTTTTATTTTAAAAACATATTAATCATAATAGTACCAAACAAATTTTCTAAAAAAAAAGAAAATAGAAGAAAAATAAAACAGACTGAAAATAAAAAAGAAATAGAAAACAGAAAGTGATTCTAAGTAGGACCTAATAGAATAATTTTTTATGTTAAGAATTTTGTTTTTAGTGTTTTTTATAATAAATTAGATATTAAAGAGGGTGAAAGTTATATGTATTAATTTGCCAAACAACGAGGCAGAAAAAATGAAGGTTTAATTCAATTAAAGTGTATTAATGTCGAACATCAAAAAATATTTTTCTTAAATGGAGATATTCAATATAAGTGGGTGAGATATTTTGATAAGCTTTTCACTGAAGTTTATGAAAATATAATCTACTTTAGTTATCTTAATATCATAAATAATAATAATATTTTTTTTTTCTTCTATTGTATTAGTAAAATAAATCTGAGTCTTAAAAAAAAATGAAGTATAGAAAAATAATGGGACCAAACTATATTCAATAGAAGTGTGAAAATTTTTAGTAGATTTGGGAATTTCATGGCATACTAAATATTTTAATATTATTTTTAAAAACAAGAAGAATTTCTGATAAGTAGAGAAAAAGTTTATTGGTTTCTATTTTTAAGAATAAAAGCAATGTGCAAGTGCATGAAAATTATTGATTCAATTATAAATGAATTAAGTAATGTGTGATACATCAAAGTTATTGGAGAGAGTAACTGAACATAGGTTACGATGAAATTAGTTTGGATTCATGCCGGGCAAATGTACAATAGAAGATATAAATTTATTAAGAGACTTGATGGAGAAATATAGAGAGTAAAGAAGATCTACTTATTATTTTGGTTTATTTAGAAATAGCTTATGATATGATTCCAAGAGAACTATTTTGGAGAATTTAAAAAAGAAAGGTGTTGACATTGCTTATATTCAAGTCATTTAGGTCATGTATATTAGAGCTGTTACATACGTTCGATCACGATGATAATTGACTAATTATTTTTCTATTTCAATTGGATTACATTGAGGATCGACTTTAAGCCCAAATCTTTTCTTTTTAGTTATGAATGTTCTTACTGGACATTTATAGGAGGATGTTTCTTAGTGTATGTTTTTTGTTGATGACATCCTACTTATGGATAAGATAGAGAGAGTTTAAGAAAAGCTTGAATTATTTAGTTCATTTTTTGAGTAGAGGCTTTCATTTGAGATCTAAAACTGAATCCATGAAATATAATTTTAGTAATAGATCTAGTGGCAGGGTTGTAACAGTGGGTGA